TAGCAAGCGTCTTGAATGAGATCGCCACATCAAGAAGATGACATGAGAAGAAGAAGTAGTTCGTATTTCCAAGCAACGAGACAATGAAGTATACAACAAGGTAAAGGAATGACTAAAAGATAAGGAAAGACATAATCTCTAATTAGAGTTACTGGCAAATTCAGATACGCGTTAAAAGCCAAATTCACTTACACTATCTGTGATACTAACGCCCCATTTCCAAAGAAGGTATTGTAGTTCCATTTTTTGCTGCCAAGTTGGATAGAATCAGGTGCCTATGGTTTCTTCTGGACGATCTTTCATTGGACTCGCACCGTTATTTGTTGAACCCGGTTTCATTCCAAGCAGACGAATAATCTGCCTCTGGTCATATTGTTCCAGATACTTTTTCAGATCTTTCTTTCTTGGCGAACTTATCACAATACATATGGGGGAAACTGGGTGTTGAAAGCACCAGTTTATCCCACTAAACACGTAGACCATCGTCAGAAGGTTATTCAGCGTTCCAAATTCCTTCAAATTCCAACATTAGGGAAATCTCTTTTTCGCGTTTGAATATAACCAAAGGCACCTTGAGAAAAAAAAACAGATAAAGTATAGCGCAAGAGAATGATAAAATCAAATGCAGTAACATCAAAATTAAATTACTTACTTTCAAAAAGTAGTATGCAACCAACATGCCAAATGAGAGGATTGAGTGAGCAATGGCGAGAATCTTGAGCAGAGGACCTAAGTAGGAATCGGAATCCACTAAAGTTATGAATTCCTCTTCCTCGGCGTCAAATCCAATATCACCTTCAGAATTCTGAAGTGAATTAGCAATATTAGATACCGTGTCTGAGATTGATATCACCAAAACAGCTCCAAGGCCAGCTTCTTCTATGTCTTCTTCGTCTCCAGCCGGTCGCCTCTCAATCTAAAATTGCATTCCAAGGTATACAATGGTCAATCAACTGTGAGCGGACGAACATGCTTTAGGCGTTACCTTGTAAAACAAAAGCAGGAAGTTGAGTATGAAGACTAAAATCAAAGCGCAGAGTTTGAATCGAGAGAAATTGCGTGCAAAGATTGAAATTAAAAAGGTGGAAATGGAAATCGGCTTCTGTTCAACCGCAGTAAAGCCTTTTTCATTAGTCGAAGAACGAGTACCTTAAATTGGCGCAAAAATTCTAAATATATATATCAATAGATAAATTAATGAATGAATAAATATATAATGTTTCCGTTATCACTAGATTAGTTAATTAATAATCTATTTAGCTAAAGCCATTCTGCGAAGCATTGGAAAGCAATTATAATACAAGATATTCCATAAAACGATTAATAAATTTCAAATGACAACTGAAATCAATAATCTTAAATACCTCGAAAGAAGGTGGTGCCACATTTTTCGGAATTCCTAGTAAATTATAAGGCTTTAATCTAATTTCAAAAGAAGATAAATGACCAAATTAAGGACAAAATTAACAAATATTTGGATGATTAATAAAAAATCTGTCAATTTAAAGATTATTTATTTGACTTCAGTTTGTATTCAGACATGAGGGGGGGGGGTTGTATTCTGATCAGACAAAATTTTCCTAGTTTATTAATGAAATAAAGTGTTATTTCATTGTTACAATCAAAGATGTCAAACCACAATATGGGCATAGAAGACGCCAGACAGACATTGCATACTACATTTCGATGATCAGAGCTTGATAAAACCCACATGGACACAAGAGTCATTACTCCAATTTTCGGACAATTACCCTCAGATCACGGCTACCAATTTTGCTTAAAAGGCTTCAAATTGTCGAGCAATGAGAATATGAAAGATAGGCAAAATTCAGGAGGACACACCAATTTTAATAATTACATATTAGAACTCGAATGCTCAATTAAATACGCCGAAGCACATGGCAATGAATTTAACTCTCCTTAATACAACGCCTTCCCACGTGCGGGAGATAAATCGAATCTTAATAAACACCTATAAACACAACTCGAGTCTGATTGGCGCTGAGCTCAAATCAGACTACCCTAGTACTCCATTTAAAGAGTCAGTTTTTAAAGTAATCAAATCCACACAAAGTAATTGATCATCAAATAAACAAATTCGGCATCCTCAGACGCTTCTGCGTATGCTATGATAAATATGCATAGATTAGTAATGAAAAAAAAATCGATAACAATAGTAAATAGTAATGCCATCGCAAGAAGCAATCCATGCGCGCCTACATTGTTTCTTTTTACCATCAGAGGTGCCGACTTCCTTCTTTCCTCCATCTGCATTCAAACGACTACCTCCTGTTGTTGCAGACTTCCTAGTGGAGCTCCTGGTTAAATCTTCTACCTTGGAGCAGTCAACTCGTTCCAGTAAAAGTTGCTCCTCTTCCGACAACAACCAGCACTCCTTCTCCTGAAACAAAAAGAAGAGAATTCAGGTGAATCAGTTACGTATGTTGGTTGGGTTATGGAAGATGTATGCTTGATTCGCGGAGACTTGCCTGAAGAATGCTTGCCAAATCGGTGGGTTTCTGGACTTCTTGATTTGTGACAGCAATGTCAGGAGGTTTAATATTGCCATCTGCCGTCACGTTGTTATCTATTTTTCCCCCGCCAAATCGTGTCAAATTTGATATTCCTCCCGTTCCACCACCATTTTGCCACCTGGATATAGACTGTTGTTCAAGTGGTGGCCGAGCAGTTGGGTCTGAAGTCATAGCAACAACGAATCGACAGGTGATCTTAAGAGCACCCTTAACTAGGCGAACAGCTCCGATCATGAGGCCAATAATTAGCCCGAGAATGTCTGCAATTACGTCGACAACCGACATTTGACGCAACTTCGTCCAACATACCCACAGATGATGAGGACTCAGGAATGACACCACTGTTCCCAGAAAAGCGAAGAAAGAGGTCAATCGAGTCGCTTCCAGCAGGTTTCGGACAGCCACCACCTATAATGTAAAGATTATCAATCAATATAAGCAAAGTGGTTAAACAATTTGAGAGAGAGAGATGACATACTCTGCTAATTTGGAGGTTCTCATCGTCACCACTTATACCCTGTGCATGTTGCATTTCAAAGATGGTATCTTCAGCGAAATTGACGAAACACTCCAACTTCTCTTTGTCACCACTTTCACCGACTACTGAATGAAGGAAAGTTCGCTTTGACTCCTTGATCTGCGGTTTCTCCCATTGATCGATATTCTCCTGCCGCACCTCAAAATAAACTCGTTCAATGCGACCTTCTTTGTTTGTGATCTCGATACGACCCAATAGGGGATCAAACATTTCCAGCATACCCTTAGCCTTCTGTAATAGGCGCTCCAGCCTATAAAAGTATGGATTAGAATGCTGATCAATGTTCCTTTGAAAAAAGGAGATATCCCAATTTGGGGTGTGTGATAGACTTACCTCCACGTGGTGCATCCTGGGCAACGTATCAATAGACTTACCTCCACGTGGTGCACCCTGGGCAACGTATATTCATACGGCAAAGTCTATTAACTGGTAGTTGACTTCTCCCCATGATACGACAAAAAAGTCTATTCTGACTTCTAACTACTATCACCCCACTGTATGCCATATTCCACCATTTCAGCAGATCACGCATTACCTTTTACTCAACATTTGTGCCTGTCTGTCTCTTTTACTTCTGTGAATCATTATTCTGTCCCT